ACGGAACAATCCTGGCTCCAACAAAGAATTTCAGTGAAAAAGCTAAATTGTCGTAGGCCACAATTCGTGACTCGTTTATTTGCCGAGGTTCGTATTCCTAAATCTTAAATTGCAATGCAGCCAGTGTCAACTTATATACTTAACGAATAGTGCCACATAAGCGAGATGTATTATGCAATAATGGTTGCCCATGATAAGTAGATTTCTACTATATTATAGTAGATGCCTACTTATCATAGGCAACCTTACTCTGGTCAATACTAATTAAACTTTATGAGTATTTACGCATCAAGGTATATAATATTTTATGAGTATTTATGAGTTTTTAAGAGAAATTACTTTTCAACTCTGGTCGAAACTTATTAAACTATCAGTATTTACGCATCAAGTTATATAATATTTTATGAGTATTTATGAGTTTTTAAGAGACATTACTTTTTAACTCTAGTCAGTAGAATAGTAGTTATAATATTAAATATAATATACATATTTTATGAGTATGTATACGTTTTTAAGAGACACTATATATGGTGTCTTACTTTTAAGCTCTAGTGAAAACTTATTAAACTTTATCAGTAGGTATTTACCGATCATGTTATATAATATTTTATGAGAATTAAAAAAGTTTTAATAAGACACTATATAATCATAAAACTTTATAATCACTTATCCGATAAATACTCGTACGCAGCTGTTACGTGTAAGAGTGTTACACTGTAACTCCAATAGAATATTGATAACATAATGCGTAAATACGCATTATACGCGTATACGCATCATGTTATCAATATTTTATAGGTGTTACATGTAACAGCTGGGTATTATTATTTATTGGATAAGTGAATGAAGGGTATATATTATGTTTTATAAAAGTTGGATGTAAAAAACCAATAAAAACCGATAAAATTAATTTCTTATAAATACTTGTGGCTTCTTATAGACATATAATAGGTAAGGCCTTATACAAACCAATAAACTTACATCCCTTATATAGTCTCATAAACACTCATAAACAATGATCAAATCGGGACCATACTGAAACTGATAAAAGCCATGTGCACATAAAATCTTATAAGTACTGTACCACATAAAGTCTTATAAAAACTTATATAGATGTAAAAAAACAATAAAATCCGATAAAATTATTTTCTTATAATTACTTATACCTTTTTATAGACATATAATAGGTAAGGCCTTATACAAACCAATAAACTTACATCCCTCATAGAGTCTCATAAACACTCATAAACAATGATCAAATAGGGACCATACTGAAACTGATAAAAGCCATGTGCACATAAAGTCTTATAAGTACTCTTTAACATTTTAGCTGGAATTCCTTATAGACATTTGCACCTACCATATAAAGTCTTATAAAAACTTATAAAAGTTAGATATAAAAAAACAATAAAATCCGATAAAATTCATTTCGCATATATGCTTATAGCTTCTTATAGACATTTAATAGTTAAGGCCTTATACAAACCAATAAACTTACATCCCTCATAGAGTCACATAAAATCTCATAAAAAATTATCAAATAGGAACCACATTAAAACTGATAAAAGTCTTGTGCACATAAAATCTTATAAATTCACTTCAAAATTTTAGTTGGAATTTCTTATAGAAATTTGTACCTCGTAAAGTCTTATAAAAACTAATAAAAGTTTTATAAGTCACGGCTCATAAAACTATTTCTTATAAAAACTGATAGAATTCTGATAAAACCCTTATGAGCAATTAGACAAAACCTTATAGAAACTAAGAAACCGCATACATCCTTATTAAATATTATAGAACTTTTATAAGTTTTTATGCGGGTTTTTCAACAGGGATGTTGTGACAAGATACCCACAACAATAGAAAAATTCAAGCTCAATCCAATTAAAATTAACAAATTAAATCTCGATGAACTTAATTTGGCAGAACACAAATTAAACAAATACAGCGAACAATTAGATGACCTCATCAACGAAAACTTCATACAAAAATACACTCCATGGTTCACCTACCTTTCAATTCTACTCATCATATCTCTTATATGCCTCTACATATTTTGCAAATGCCGCAAAAAAAGAAGATTCATTCCCAAACTCCAGATTTCTCCAGGTGACTTTCCACAACCACCGCCAGATTCACAAACAATTAGAGAAACTGTAAGAAATATAGTTGAAAGACGACGTCCTCTACGAAATATTCGAAATCCAGATATTGAATTAGAAGAAATATCAATTCCTAATTTCAACAAATCAATACCAGCCTAAATTGTTGCTATTCAATAACCAACAATTTTTATAAGGAGGGAGATGTTATATATTATTAAACAGTAGTTTCATATTAACAATATGCTACAATGTACTTATCATATCCAAAGGAAATAATAAAACAATTAAAACCCACAACAAAAACGCAACTTCAGCTTCTCGAAACAAAGGGATCCTATGAACACCTGCAAGAAGATGATGCAATGGTCAGCCCAGCCCCACTCTTGATTTTCAATTTCAATATTGTATTATATACTTTTAAAACCACTCTTCTCAAAACTCTCATGTAAAACGTTTACTAAGTAAACTCCAATTTGTAAATTAAAATATTAAATTATATAAGTCGAGTCACGAAACAACTGTAACCCAAAAAGTGAAATAAATCAAATATTAATTAAAACTGTGTTTGTGTGTGAAAACAGAAAATAAACTTTTTTAAAAACTAAATATTGGGATCCAAGACCCAACATACATGATGTTTGAAAACGTATGTTTACGAACGCTTGCCTAAGAGGTGCTGTTATAGACAATATTTAAGGTTTTTTTTATCAATATTTAAGGTTTTTTATCTTGCATTAATCATAAATTGCGGCGATGTTTGGTACAGTATACAGTATCATTATCAAGCATAGTAATTATAAATTAATTACTTTTTCATAATTAATACCTAATTAATTATAATTATAAATATTTAAATAATCATATAAGGTTTTACACCAAACAAATAATAATATATTTTTTGGTAATTTTAAAAATATGTTTGATTTGTTTTTTAATTATTAAAATGTATTTCCTAATTATAATACCAGAATACAAATTTTGCTTTACTAATTTTTTTTATATAATTTTATTATAATAATAAATATTTATTTAGAGAAAAACAGAAAATTAAAAAAATCTGAGTGTGAAGAGAGAATTTGGGGGGAGGAAGGTCAAGACTTATATGTTACAAGAGTGTCTAAAAACGACCTCTAAAACTATATATATATACTTATTGGTAGAATAAAAAATAACTTGGAAAAATATATTTTATTAAAAAAATACAACAAATATAAAATATCAAATACCTATGTAATATTATTACTCAAAAATATAAACAAAATATTAGTCAAAGAAAAGATTAACTAATAAAATACAAAAAAATATGCATCTAAAAACTATTTTTCTTCACATGGGAGCTAAAACTTTTTGGTTTAATTTTAAAATCTTTTAGGTTTTATCAATACCTTGTAAAACCTCTACACCTTCACTACTCGTCAGAGTTTGAGTTGGACTTTCTCTTTATGCATCCCTGTTGTAGAAGGCACCCTTCCACCCGAACTTAAAGGCTGGTCAATGAAGAGTTCCAACGATGGTATTACCTCCACCTTACCTCCACCACTAACTTTCACAGCGCTTCCTCTATTAGGGCTAGTAATTTATCCTTAAAGTAATTAAGTTGTTTTACTGGCTCCCCGACATTGCCAGTCTCCATGTGAGAAATGCGTAGTTTTCTTGCCATTTTCAATACACTAAAAGTGTGTAAAAATAAGTAACAAATAATTATTTTAAGATATTTTATGATTACCCTTTTCCATATAAGGATGGACTTAATGGCCCCGCCAGAAGATCTGTGCTTTGGCTAGTTCAGCATAAAACGTTTTTCCCAAGTAGGTATTTTTAGAATTTGTGGATTTTCCCAAATTGTTTTTAAGTTCATTTAATATATTAAATATCACCAATGATGTTTAAAACAATTATCTAACACAATTTTAGTTTAGTCTGCGACTTTTAGGTTATAAAACTAAGAAACTCCCTGTCCTAAAAACATTTATCGCTGTTCAGAAAGATTCAAGGTCAAGACTCTCAACATATGAGAAACGGAATACCCCTAAACATAGGTAATGTTTGGCTTGTCGTTGGGTGAACATACATGTTAAGAAATCGATGTTTATGAACAGCAAGAAAGGGAATAGGCCTCTAAGTTAACTTAAAGGTCTATGGAAGTGGCGGATGTTTTTAGTTTCCATTTATTTATTAAATTGAATGGCGTCTGTCAGCGTCTCTCAAGGTCACCCGCCATGAGATATTAATACCTACTACCTTGAAATAATGGAACCCTTTATTTTTCCTGAAATAGAAGGCATCCCAAAAAAAAAGGAAATTTCCAGTGAAATCCCTGCACTGAGAAAAAAGTTTATTGCTCCCAAATAAAAAAAATATTTAAATATGGGACAAGGGTACAGTATACCTATTTATCCTAAATATATTTTTATTCCCGACACATACTTAAAGTTTAACTAAAGTATACCTATTTATCGATATTATTTCGACTATTTAGAGGTAATAAACAATATATTCACTATTAATAAAAGGATTAAGTATACACAGTTTATTTGTCCCATTTTTTTCTCAGTGTGTGGAAAATTATTTTGGAACAGATAGATTAATATTAATTGTTTTTTTTTAAGATAATTAAGTTTATATAACTACCTATATCAAATATTTTGTAAAATAAAATTGTATTTATATAGGCAGAAAGACTTCGGTCGATAGCCTTTTGGTTTTTCCAATAAATATATTTACTACTACTACTAAAACAATAAATATAAAAACAATGTTGATGGTTTATTTTTGTATTTTATCGTATACCTATAAGTTTTATTGTATTGTAAAACTTAAATTCAAATTCGGCGCTTTTATGAATACTCATCTGCCACCTACAATAACAATCTGATAAATTTGACATAAGGGTTGGGTTGTGAGATAAGTACATTTATTTTCTTTTAGTACATTGTTATTATTAAAGAATTTAGTGAAAAAATATATTCATAATGTTAAGTTTAATGAACAGACTGTTAGATTGGTTCAAAAGCTTATTTTGGAAAGAAGAAATGGAATTAACATTGGTTGGATTGCAGTATTCTGGAAAAACAACTTTTGTCAATGTTATAGCTGTAAGCTTTGTTTAAAACTATATTTTATAAAAAATAATCGCCTTTAATTATAGTCAGGTCAGTTTAGTGAAGATATGATCCCCACTGTAGGGTTTAATATGAGAAAAATCACCAAAGGTAATGTTACAATAAAAGTATGGGATATTGGTGGACAACCAAGGTTTAGATCTATGTGGGAAAGGTATTGTCGAGGAGTAAATGCTATTGTGTAAGTAAAAATAAATTAACAAAGGTAAAGATAATAAAATTGGTCTATTAATTTAGTTACATGGTTGATGCTGCTGATCCTGAAAAAATTGAAGCATCTCGAAATGAACTGCACAATTTGCTAGATAAACCACAGTTAGCAGGAATACCTGTTTTGGTTCTTGGAAATAAAAGAGATAAACCACAAGCTTTAGATGAAAATGGCCTCATTGAAAGAATGTAAGTAAGTTAGGAATAGAGCAAACATAAATACCTATGTACCTAAAATTAATTATTCTTCATAGAGTAAAATTCAAATTTATATTTTATAAATATCATAGTTACATCCAATTCAATAACTGCAAATTTTTAATTCCATAGAGATATTTAATTGCTAATGTTGGACTTTGAAATCAAAAACACCCACAAGTAATGAAGTAGCATGCTATATTTTAAAACTAAATCACTTGTGCTGCACAAGTTGTGCATCTATGTGTGTATTTTATTTCAAAGTCCAACATTACCAGTGAAATACGCCGTAAAATAAAATACAAAATTTGCATTTATGGCATTATTGAACTGGATGTACAATATGTCCATTAGTTAAAATTACAGTGTGTCACAATTTTGTTACCTATTGTTTTGGCTCTATAATAATACAATGTTAAAATCATACCCTGTGACATCTAATTGGATCTTATTAACCCTTATGCAGGCACACCTCTTTGTGCAACGTAGTAGGTCGCGCGGGGTGTCAGAAACACCTGTGATGGCAAAGTGTCCCTCAGTGTTATTTACATTTTTTTAATTTTTTTTCAAGGTTATCAAGTTAAAATGAGCTTAGAGACAATGAGAATATATTTCGTTGCGTTTAAATTTGATAAAAGATGACAAAAAAAAAATGTCAAAAGACGACAATTTTAATAAAATAAAGCATTTATTTAAAAACACAATTTTAAAACTCATAATAAAAAAGCATATAAGATAAGGTTTACTTTTACAAGTAATTATGATTTGGTAAAAAAAGTCAATAGGAGGCGAAACCCAGCCTGCTTAAAGTCACTCACTTTTGATACTAGAATTTACTATGGAATCGAAGCTTTCTTTACAAACATTTTTCCTATGCTTAATGCACATGTTTTTGGCACACCTTCTAGTTTTTGCAAAAAGGCATGCCTTGGACAAATTATACATCTGCCCTTCTTTACCGGCAACTGAGGTCTTGCAGGAACACCTGATAATTTGAAAATTATTGGGCAGAGAAATTTTTATTTGTTGTTTACATAAAATATTAGAACGAACGGAAACAAGCAACACCCCAGTAAACATTTACGAAAAAGTCACGACGCACAGTGCGGACAAAAACAGGGTTTTTGGACAAAAATCAATAATTTAATTGTTTTTAAAAAAATATGCTTTTTTCATAGGGTATGTGGTAAATTGTAGTGTAAAGCTTAAAAATAAGTACAACTTTTTAATATGTCATTTTATTAAAAATATTCAAAAGGTAAATTAATAAAAATAAAAAACAGTTGTCTTTAAATTAAAAATCAATTTACTTTTGTGGTTAAAGTTAAACTTAATTTTATTCTTATGTTTTTTTTTTGTTCAATATATGTCACTATAATAATAAAAACAAAATTTTTGAAATAGAAAGTATTTTACAACATGAAAATCTTGTGCGATATGCAAGGTGTAAAAAAAAATAAAAATACTAAACAGAAATTAAACAATTTTTTTTATTCCTTGCTTTCGTCAGATGATAAATTAATTTGTCCTTTATATAAGATATTTTTCTATCCCCTCAAAACTATGAGGCGGTCTTTTAGGAATGTTTCTGTTCATAGAAATTAAGGGATCAGATGAAAGCAAAAGAATGTTTATTAAATCTATATTTGTATTTTTACGACTTGTTTTTCTTGTGTGCTATAATCTTGCTTGCTACGCTCGCGTGCCAAACAAATCGAATATTTGCTTCACTTGTTGAACAGTATACCATTTTAAACCCCAAAATATGAAAATCAGACGTTTTATTTAAAATAATTTTTTTATATTAAAAAAAATAGTAATGTACATACCTTCGCTACTAATTTCCATTGCACAAAAATATGCCATAAACATTCAAATGATTTTCGGTAGATATGTATATTTTAAGACTGATAGGATTTTTATTGCAGTAATTGAATAGGTACCTCAATTTAATTTTATTTGTGCATTCCTATTGACCGAAAAAAAGGTTGTTTTGGTTTTTTGTTGTGGAGTGTGGATACCATAAATATGTTTGGACAAATATTTTTATTTCATATATAGTATTACATAACACCAATATATTTTTATATTTTTATATATTTTAGTATTGTGACTTAAAAATATTCATTTAAAAAAATTTCAGCACCCTTAGTAGCAGCTAGTAGCAAAAAATATTTATGCCACCTTTTTGCCAAATGATTGTACTATTATTTAGAGTTATTGCCAGTCTGTGCAAAGTTATGCATTTTTTTTAAACCTTAGGGAAAGTGATAATAATTTATTTTTGTAAGCCTATCAGTTTTAATTAAATTATTTAAAAAGCTGGATTTGAATTTTACAAAATTTTATTCAAACAAATAGTGCAAGTCTATACCACTGTAATACTTAAAGAATTTTTTTTTTATAATAAAATGCAGATCCAGTAAAATTAATTTTCTAATAGGTATTTTATACGATTTTATCGTAAAGTTTTAACATTACGACTTAAACTAATTATTTTGTTCATTTTTAAAAGTGGGACTAAAAAATAGTTTATGATTATGGATAAAGCGGACTTTTATCTATATTTTTGCAATATTAGAACATTACAAATTCACACTCCCTTTTTCGATTTTTGTCCACAGTAGTCCGCACTGTGCGACGTGACATGTCACAACTTGATATCCAATTGCTGGCACAGTGATTAAGTTTGTCGTTTTATGTCAAGCAGTGACATGCGCGTGATCTTTTTATGTCACGACCTGACACCGCAGGGACGAAACTTTTCATTTAAATGACATTACTTTAATTTGTTCATAATACGTTAAATACGTATTATGTTATTATTGTTAGACAAAGACTTTTCTTTAATATTTAATATTTTTCTTTAATATTAACCATATGGTTTTAAGAAATTATTTTCGCAAAAATATATCTATATATATAACTTCATTTTATATTTGTTTGCGACTTTGCAAGCGATTTTAGCCAAGTACGTATGTATGTATGTATCTTACATATTATTAAAATATCTAGTTTATAAGTGTACTTATTTGGAAACAATTGTACAGGACAGTTAAAACGAAAATAAAGATCTTAAAAAAAAACATTCGCCGCGACAACTATTTATAAGCTTGGGTGCAGCAGCCAAGCGACTTTCACAACCAAGTAGATACTACATCGGTTCAGGAACCCAGGATTTGTTTTAGGGAGAGGATCTGCAAATAAAAAAATATTATTTTTAGTAGTCTATAAATTTGGCATTTTTCCGATGTTAAACATCAATTCTTAAAATAAGTTGTAGATTTTTTGGTAATTCTCATTTAAGTCCATTCCGTCCAATTCTTGCCTGAAAAAGTGTCCACATGGCTTGGTAACGATTGCCGTTGACAGTCAAGGTGGCTTCTTCATTATATTCTTAATTTTTAATGTTTTTTTCACTAAATGTCAATGTTTTAATTAAACAAATACGGTATTTGAAATACCTAAAATGGTTGACAGGCGGAAATGGTGCGCGATTTGAAATTTAAGTTCTTGCTGAGACACCCTATATGCCAATTCCTGTTTACTGTTGATTTTGGATGCGTCTGTGTATATAATATTGTAGTTTTTTCTTTATAGGTTTTAAGTATGGCTAACAATTCTGTTTTGTTGGTAATTTATTTTTTTTTATTGGTGTCAACTGGTAACTATTTTCTATCTCAAAGCAAGGAATCAGACCACCTCGTCTGCTATTGTTTAAATATTTGTTAAATAAATTGGACATTTGCATAATATGGATGGTCCAGTATTTTGTAGATTTTGTGCAATCTTGTTTTAGCATGAAAATGATTTCAATTAGAGAATGGGTTTTATGTTATTATTTTTTACAGGAATTTAATCGTTAGCCATTTCCTACTTTCTGTTAATGGAGGTTCGGAAGGAAATTGCAGAAATTTTCATTGTGCCAGTTATAGTTCTTAGAGATTTGTTTTGAGTAGAATTTGGATTTTTGTGTATAGGACTTAATAAAATTGATCCAAAATCCAATTTGCATTCAGTTTTATCCTATGATATTGAAATGTTTAGAGAAACATGAGATTATGTTGTTAAGTGTTTTTTTAATGGTTTTGGTCATTTTTTGTATATTATTTACCCTGGCATATGACAGTAGGCATGTGTGTTTTGGAGTATACGTGATATTAAACAAGAAAGGACTCAGTGGGGAGTATGCGTGTCAATCCCGAGATCCCAAAATCACGGGGTCCCTGGATCCTGTAAAAAATCCGATCCCGAAAATCCCGAGATCAAAAGTCCCAATTTTAAGAATAGGTTTTTACTTTATTTAAAATAACCTACCTACCTATTTATAAACTAATGGTAAAAATTATAAACTCTATGTATAAAGAAGATTTAAACTAGCGCTCACCTAAAAAATCATAATTTGCAGATATAAATTAAATTTGCTCGCTTTCACCTCGTTATTTTAACAATCTTAAAAACAAGTATTTAAAAACATAATATTTATGGTGCGTACATCACAGGTCAGTTTAAATATACAGTGTGTATTAAAACGAATAGATACACTTAAATAAAACAAGTGCCAAACCCCGCCCACTGTGGTAGGGATTGGGTTTGAGAATTTATCGGTTTTATTTTTATCGAATTCGTTTGTTTTGTTTTAATGCATTTCTGCAAATAAAAAGTATTGTTTAAAATCCATTAAATTCCAGTTAATGGCGAAAATGTATTTCTTAAAAACTATACACATTTCCCTACGACAGCGTCGGAGCTACTGAACAAAAACAGACTGTGTTACACAGTAGATCAAACTGCATGCCCTTGTATCTGGCTACATGCCGCGCTGTTGCCATATGCTATTATTGTTTCCTAAGAGGGTTGTTTTTCTTACTTTTTAATATAAAAAGTAAGAAAATTAACTAAATCAAATTATTTTTGACATATTATTAATTTTTTTGTTATTTTTAAAGTTTCAAACAAATAAAATTGAACTATTTATTAAATAATTATAATCGT